TCTAAAGACTTCTACAAATCAACCTAGATGAAACTTTTTAAAAACTGCCTTTTCCCCCCTTCTCAGAAACATTTAGACCTACCCTATGGCAATGACTATCGGGAAGTCTCTGCCCTGTATATCAGGGCAGCACAAATAATTCTGCATAAAGCAGCCAGTTCCTGTAGCCTGGCATTAGGATAAGTATATCTTAAGAAAGTTCTTATGCAGACTTGGCTTCAGGCAATAAAACGTCATAGACGTATAACTGTAGCAAGCGAAATTTCTAGGGAGCAAATTAGGCTGAAAACATCTTCTAGAGATGGCTAGAAAGGAATCGTACACCACCCCAAAATAAGGCAAGTTATGCAGTAAATGTTTCATTTATTGGCCTTCTTCCATTACTATTAGGGTTAAAAGACATCTTGTCAATAGGAAAGGTATACTTATGGAGGACTGATGTCTTTGGAAAGGCTGTCACAAATGCCTATAGCGGCAGTGATCGGCTTGTGAAGGCAGGTGATGAAACCCTGTGCAAATGCATACATCTCCCCATTAACCCTTGGATCATCAGGCATTATTGTCACTCTATTACCCAGACCTGTCATTAGCTGAAGCAAGGTGATCAAGCCCCGCACTGCAGAAAAATGCCCGAACAGAACAGTGTTCCTTAGGGTTTCAAGAAGAGGGTGTGTGCCTCTCCACACCCCTTGACAGAATCACTGGGGGGAAACAAAAGGATGCCTGTGAAGTGGTCCTTTTTACCTACCTCTTCTTCCTGCTAAAATTGAAAACTCTCAGGTGTCCAATTTTTAGTGTTCGTATGTTGGTTAAGGGAGTAGCTTTCCTTAAGGTCCAAATAAGGAACCATCACCCACGCAGAACAAAAAGCAAACAGAAAATCTCACAGTGAAATCAGGACTTTGGCTTCTAAACATTTCCCCATTTTATAGCTTCCTTATGTTTTCAGATTCTTTTTTTTTTTTTGGCTTCCATCAGTTCTGCACACTCCCTGCATAGATAAGCCCAACACAGTGGGTAACAGACCATCCATCTTGGAGCCCAGATCTTTAAAGAAAAACCACACAGAACACACATATACACACATGTACACATCACTGTCAAGGGTAATTTGGTAGAATCTTGCCAAGCGATTGGAGGAGCTGAATATGGTTGTCAACATGTATTCTCTGCTTCTGGTGAATATGAGCAGACTATCCTTGCTCCTCCTAAATTCCAGAGCCAAACTTCAATATGGTTTGTCTATTTTGCTGGTACACCTCTTTCTTGCACAATTGAGGCGGGGGCTGAAACTGGGGAATCATGGACTCTGATTGCTAAAAAGAACCTAAGAAAATATCCAATCCAACCACCTCAACTGCCAGGTGAGACAGGACGAAGGGGCCACAGGTAACATGGCCCATTTCTGTCCAGCACGTTTTTCAGAGCACCTAACACTCTGCCATAATGCCCCATGAGGAACCCATGCCTGAAAGGCGATTTATAAAACTGGACCATCCCAGTTTTTTTTTTTTTTTTTTTATCCTCACCCGAGGACATTTTTCCATTTTTTGTTCAGGTAGAGTGGGAGGGAGAGAGAGGAACAGAGAGAGAGAGAGGGAAACATCGACGTGAAGGGACACATCGAGTGGCTGCCACCCGCACGACCAACCAGGGCCGGGGACAAACTGCAACCGAGGTACGAGCCCTCAGCGGGAACCGAACCCGGGTCTCTCAGGACCGCAGGCCGACGCTCTAACCGCTGAGCCAAACCGGCCAGGGCTGGACCATCCCAGTTTTACACTCCCCAATAGGGATGGACAGGAAGTATGCCTAGGAAAGGTAACCTATTCACTTAACTTTATGTATATTACTAACATCAACATATATTCACAGATTTAATAGAGGGATGGCTGGAGGGAACCAGTAACAAGAGAAGTGAAGAAGTAGGGGGTGAGGAGACAGAGAAAGAAAGGGAGACTGAGGGACGGTCTACCTGGCATTCAGGACCTGGGCTGACCCCTGGTACAGGCTCCAAAGGAAGAGGTCACAGCTTCTCCTCCACTATGCACACAGCAAGATGGCAAAATCCCTTCGTGCAGGCTAAAGTCAGGACCGGTCTGGTTTCCTCCCTGTTTTCAGAATCCTTGCTATAGACCAGGTGCCATCAATATCTAGAGGGAGAAGTTGCCTTAAACTATAAAAGAAGTGTCTGAGTTGCCTCAACCTGGACACATGCCAACTGTTCTTTAAAATTTCACACCAAATCTATAAATCACATGTCCACTTTGTGGGCCAACTTGACTTAAAAAATATATATATATATAAGACCTCACTTTTGCCAGTTGCAGTTCTATGCCCAACTCCTTCCCCCACTCCCATCCTGACATCGCCAAAGCCCTTTAGGGGTTATTGACCTTCTGAGAGCCTGCTTATCTTCCCAAGCCTTTTTATGAAAGGAGGTAACGAAATTAAATGTGACACGTGTGCGATCATGAAATAACTTTTAATTGCTTGATTAAATCAGAGATATAAAGAAGGAAAGATTCAAGAGTTTCCTTTGAATGAGAAATACAAGGATATGCCAAAATGTATGAGGTTACTGATCACTGGAAGAAAGCCATTATATTTACATATGATAAAAATGCAGGCCAGGACATTAAAAACAATAAGTATACTCTAAAATTTCAAGTCAGTGTATTTATGAGCTTTTATCATCCAGGTAGTCCTATAAAGGACATAGAAGACCTCCTTATCCAACTTAATTCAGATCAGGGTTAGACTAAAAACAAAATACCACCACACTGAAGAAAGAAATTGCCATAAAATTGAATTACTATAAATGTGTTCCAGTTAAAGTAAATAAGCCCTTAAACTGGGCCTTAGGAAAGTCTAAACTGTATACAGACTTAGGTACACTAAGTATACAGGTGACAGAAAGTGTGAAACGCTATGGTCATTCGCTAAATGTATACATCTAAAGGCAACCAAGTGAACAGACCTAAAAAAAGGAAACTGTTAAATCCATTTGTACATGGATTTAACAGTGAAGCATTTCATTCTTCATGTTTTTACTTGGTGTCTTGAAATAATCCCCTTTCTGTCTCTACTCTCTCTCTTAGAAACTGTGCCCGCCTTATTTATTTATGAAGTCTGAAGGTTAGTCCTACCTGCTGAGACTAATTAGTCCTGTGCTTTGTATCCTATTCAGTCCTGTCTGATTGAATGTACACATTTGTTTTACTTCTTTTCAGGCTTCTTCTCACTCTACTCCTGATTTTCTGATTAATATTAGAGTTGGGAGTTACAGTGATTCTAGTCCTTCACCCTCCCCCCACTACATTTTTATTTTGCCGGTATCTTACTGTTTAGTGTGCAAATGTGGTGGTGAATTTTTTCCATAGCAGGGGAATTTATGGGCCTTGTCAATCTTGGTATCATTATTTTTAGTAGTCTTCTTTCTGAGACCTTAGCTTCTAAAACAGTTTTGCTGAAACCCCAAACTCTCTAAATATTACATGGTAAATTTGCTTTCTTTAGGAAATCTTAGGTGCTGATGGGCCTGGCTGAAAAGCAGGTGATGTTTTTTTTTTTTTAGGAAGAGGTGGGCTAATTTCATACAGCATGGACTCTAGACCAACACTTGTTTCTAACAGACAATTTGCTAATTCCTATAGATTTCTTTCCTTTTTTTTTTTTCCTCCTGATTTTTTTTGGTCCCCTTTTCATGTTGGAGTTTTCAGTCCACTTATCGGATATTTGCAAGAAAATGAGTGTTCTTGCTCCATCATCCAGGAACACTGTTTTGGAAGCCAGGCCTTTTCCCCTTTAACATAATTCTGTCCCCCAGTTTGTAGCAAGTCAATCTGCTCCCCCGGAGAGTGCCTAAAAACCAACAAATACCTGCTTCAAACCCCAGGTTTACCATCTCCTCCCTGAGGTCTTCCAGCATTAACTTGGTTAGCAATTTCCTGCCAGAGCCATCTACATCTTGATTATTTGGTCAGTCTTTCCGGGATTTCATTTCAGACCCCCTTGGAGAAAGACTCCAGTACCTCTGATCCCAGGGGTTGGTGAACTTTCAGTTTTATTTTCCCTGGTGGTGTTAACGCCCAAACTTTTCACCTCCCAAGTCAGAAAGGACTTTGAATCCTAGCTCATTTCCTACCACCTCCGACGTCAGTTAAAACACACACACACACACAACTCTACATTTAAAAGAATCATGTATTTTTCATGAAAGATATTTTTAATGTCCCTAAGAAACACTACAGTATTTGTTTGTTTTTTTGGATAAAAGGTCATCTTGGCATATTTGTTCTAGTGAGACAACACTTAATGAAATGATTCACCATTAAGAAACAAAAAAGGGAGGGAAGACCTCGCGGGGTTAATAGTTTCTTTTCACTGCAGATGACCAGGAACTCTGCCCAGCCCTCCACTTCCCCAAGCCCGCTGAAAGTGGAGGGCTGATCTGTTTTTTGACCACTTCTGTTACATCTTGCCCAAGAGTGGCTGGTTTCCCTGCTGGATTAACCACTAAGAACCCCTTCCCATCCCCACTCCTACACCCCTTCCCCACAATACTCTCCTCCTTTCTCCTTTCCTGAACACTTATTTCTAACATTTCTAAACTGCACTTTTTCTGGGCCTCTCCCCATCCCCGCCCCCCAAGTGGGCTTTCCTTCCGCCTTCCTCGGCTCGGATTCCTGACTTGGTCGCCACCCCTTCCCCTCTTCTCCCACTCCGCATTGTCTTTCCGAGGCCGCCCCCCTCCCGGAGCGAGTGGCGGTCCCCTCGCCCAGACTCCCGGGGTCGCACACTCAGCGCAGGCCTCTTCCCCTGCACACTCCTCCCTCCGTCTCCCTCCCCCTCTCCTCTCCTCCTCCCTCACCCGGCGCCCGAAAGGATCATTGTTAGCCGCCCCCGCCCCGCCCACCCCGGCTGTTTATTTATGCACACGTCACGGGGCCGGCCCCGCCCCCCGGCATCTCATTAAGCGAGTGTGTTCCTCTCGCCCTGTCAATAATCTCCGCTCCCAGACTACTCCGTTCCTCCGGATTTCGATCCCCCTTTTTCTATCTGTCAATCAGCGCCGCCTTTGAACTGAAAAGCTCTCAGTCTAACTTCAACTCACTCAAATTCGAGCGGCACGAGCTCCTCCTGTATCTTCGGCTTCCCCCCCCTTTGCTCTTTATATCTGACTTCTTGTTGTTGTTGGTGTTTTTTTTTTTTTTACCCCCCTTTTTTATTTATTATTTTTTTGCACATTGATCGGATCCTTGGGAACGAGAGAAAAAAGAAACCCAAACTCACGCGTGCAGAAGATCTCCCCCCCCTTCCCCTCCCCTCCTCCCTCTTTCCCCTCCCCAGGAGAAAAAGACCCCAAAGCTGAAAAAAAAAGTTCACCTTGGACTCGTCTTTTTCTTGCAATATTTTTTTTTGGGGGGGGGCAAAACTTTTTGGGTTTTTTTTTTTTTTTTTTTGCTTTTCTTCCTCCTTCATTTTTCTTCCAAAATTGCTGCTGGTGGGTGAAAAAAATGCCGCAGCTGAACGGCGGTGGAGGAGATGACCTAGGCGCCAACGACGAACTGATTTCCTTCAAAGACGAGGGCGAGCAGGAGGAGAAGAGCTCCGAAAACTCCTCGGCAGAGAGGGATTTAGCTGATGTCAAATCGTCTCTAGTCAATGAATCAGAAACGAATCAAAACAGCTCTTCCGATTCCGAGGTAGGAAAAGCCCCTCAGGCTGGTGGGGTTTTCAATCTATTTCCTGGGCTTGGCAAATGTTGCTGCAAGGGGAGAAATCGGGGCTGGGGGCGGCGGCGGGGCGCCGCGGGGCCGGGCGGGCGGCGTGTGCGTGCCGTGCCACCATTGCAAAAACTTGTAACCCTGTTTTTCTCTCCCCCCCAAACCCCCCACCCCGCTGGTTCTTTTTCTCCCCCCTTCTCCCCCCTCTGCGTGGCGTTTGCCCCTCGCCCTCCCCACCTCCATCCCTCCGGGAAGGCGGAAAGACGGCCTCCGCCTCGCTCCGAAAGTTTCCGAGATAAATCCAGGGAAAGTTTGGAAGAAGGTGAGTACGCCCCGCGCGCCCCGCAGTCGCCCGGAGCTGCCCCCCGGGCCCGCCGCCCCGCGCGCCCGGGCCCCGCGCCCCGCTCGGCCCGGCCTTGCGCCGGCCCGGCCGGGGCAGCCGGCCACTTGGGCCACTCTCTAAAAAAGTTTCTCCCCGCTCTCTCCCGCTCCGCGCGGCCGCCGCCGTCCCCTCGCCGCCCCGCCATGTTAGCGGCCAAGAGGCAAGATGGAGGGCTCTTTAAGGGGCCACCGTATCCCGGTTACCCCTTCATCATGATCCCCGACCTGACGAGCCCCTACCTCCCCAACGGATCGCTCTCGCCCACCGCCCGAACCGTAAGTACCTCCGCGCCCGGCCCCCGCCCGCTACTCGCCCGCCGGGCCCCGCATGCGGCCCCTGCCCTGCCCCCTCCTTCCCCCTCCTCTCCCTCCCCCTCCCCGCCTCCTCCCCTCCCCGCTTCCCCTCCCCCGCTCGTGGCCCAGGCCGCCCGAAACTCTCCAAACTTTTCTGCCTTTTGTGGACTGGATTTGTTTGCTCTTCGCCATGTTCTTGCTTTCAGTTTGCTGCCTCGTGATGTTGGGAGACCTTTCTTTCCAAGCAGGGCTTTGTCGGGGGGAAAAATCAGAACTTTTTTTTTGCGCTCTGATTGCCCCCTCCCCCTTTGGTGGTGGTGTTTGTTTCTTCACCCTGGGAAGATGACTGTGTGGCTCTTTCTTTCCCTCTCTCTCTCTTCCTTCCCTCTTCTGTGGCGTCTTGGGCTTTCCCCGGTTAACCCCTTGGCTGCCGCTGCCGGGGACGCAGTGACTGGGCTGCGCCCGACGCGCGGGGTAGAGAGTGGATTTTCCTCCAGGCGTTGGACTTGGGAACTAGCGAGCGAGCGCGCGGAGCCCGGGGCCCTGGAGAAGCGCCTGGGCTTTCTCTTTCGGCCGGTTATTTATTTAGCTTTCCAGTGCTGATCGTCGGCTCGTAGTCCTCCTCCCCCTTTGCCCTGCAAGGTCATGCTTGCCAGACTGGTCCCACTGTAAACTTGGGGCCTCAGGGCTTCCTCTCCTTTGGCCACCCCGCAGGGCCGTGAGCGCCCTGGGCGCCTTGGCGGGCTCGGCTTCCCCGCGCCGGCCGCGGGCTCTCCTGGGCCGCGCGGGGTGGGGAGGCCCCTGCGGCCGGGGTTCTGGATTTGTGGGCAGCTAGGATGGCCTCCTCTGAGCGGACTTGATGTATTTCTAGGGAATTTTGGTGCCTTGGGGCTTAGAGCGGGGTCTGCACTTGCCAGCTCAGTGGGCCCGGGGGAGTGGAGGCAGACACCAGGGTATGCGGGCCCATCGGGGTGCGGAGAAGAAGCCAAGGGCGCCTCTCCTTCAAGGGAGTGGGCTGCTGATCGTGAGCCTCCGAACTTTGGGGGCCCCAGAACGGCGTGGGGTGCCAGGTTCCTGGGCTGCTTCTCCGACCTTGCGTCCCGCACCCACCGTTGACATTTGTTGATAAGGCTCATCCCCCCTTCCCGGATCGGCCTGTGCCCCCTGCCCTTGCCCTGACCCCCCTCCCCCATCCTCTATAAAGCCTGGATTGAGAATCTCTGGACGCAGTCTAGCTGCTTGTGCCCGGTTTACCGAAATTGTCATTTGCACTTTCTCTGGTTTGGTCCCCTACCCCTTATTTACACACACTACTTTTGTTTTTTTCTTCTTCGGTAACTGGAGATAGCCATTTGAAATAATGCACCCACTGTTGTAGCAGCCTTGGATTCGATGCTAATGGCCTAGGGCTTGCCGGACGAGAGTTGATCAGATCTACAAGTGTTTTTAAGCATTAAAATATTAACTATCAGGTTTGACTTGTTTTTTTGGGCCCTGGCAAAAATGGTAAGGGCATGCTAGACCGGTCATTTTTTTATGGCTAGGAAAGAGAAATAATTATTCCCCCCTCCCCTGCGCTCAGGCTTCTGCATGCTTGGGAAGCTGGGAGAGCGATTCAGCCCGACCTCTTCCTGCAGGGCCAGCTCTTTCAGGCTGCAGGGGCCAGGCTGTGGGGGGGAAACACAGACCCGCTACGTTGTATTTTTCTTGGGAGCTTGAGGGCATCTTAAACCCGGAGCTTTCGGATGGTTTGTGTACTCACCAACCCGACCTAGCAACATTCCAAAGTAACCATGAGAATGTCTTACGCTGCTCCCCCTCCCCCTAAGATGGTATTTTAAAATCCGCTTGGCCATCTGAAAGGCCATCTGAATATTGATCTTGGATGGCGGGCTTGCAGGCTTTCTGGACTCTGCAAACTCCCCGTCCGTGACCGTTGGCAATCTGACCATACTGTCCCCGAAAACTTGAGCAGTTGTGTTGTGCTGTAATTAGGAAACAGGGAAATTGTTAGAGGGAAATAAATGGTTTCCTAGTTGAGAAAGGAAGGCTCCCAACCATCGGTCCCCTTTGTGGGCATTATAGGAATAGATGGAGTCTAGTTATTTTAATCGTGGACCTAGCGGGTGGCCTTGTGCTGTGTGACATCAGACTGAGTCTGAGAAGACATTTCTGAACTCAGTAGGCAGTTTTCAGTATTTGCATGTCAAACACCAACTGACATCTTTGTGTGCACTGCCCCTTCCGCCTTCCTTTCTGTTACCTGGGCTAGATTATGTGCTCCAAAATTAAAGTTATTTATTTAGGCCGGGCAGCAGAGCAATGGAAATGAGGACGAGAGGCTGTTGTGTGAGGCTGTTGTGTGTCACTCCTGACGTTTTCGATCAGAGGGGCCAGCTTGCAATTCCAGATTTGATACAGCTGCCGGAGGAATCTATAGGCAAGACAGCGGTCTTTTCATGCCTATCTGAAATTCTTAGTGCTTCATAGAGGGTGTTTTGGAGGGCAAAGTGTAAAGACAAATTAGCTGTATGCTTAATTCATATCCTGACCCTCCTTGTTGGTGGTATTTTTGCTACATTTTTCTGTTGCTTATGAGTGTACCTGTAAGCAGCTGCAGCCTTTAAAAAGCCAACTCTTTCGATCTCTGATTTCGGCTTTTCTATTTAAGAATGTAAAGAATTAAGGAGTATCATTAAATCGGCTTATGATGAATAATACATTATCTCAAGAATAATGCTTTAATTGCTGAAGACGCCATAAAGCTTGATAGTAATAATTTTATTTTAAAACGACAAAGATTTCTGCATAACATTAATTTAGCTTTGATACAGTAATAGGAACGACTTTTAAAAAGACAGATTTGAATACAAAAATGCATTAAGGAGAGAGGTCTAGTTAAGTAGATGGGAAGTGATAGAACTGCAAATATTAGAATTGTGGTAACATTTGTATGTTAAAAGATAAGAATACTGTTACCATATTAAAGTTGATAGGAAAAAGTAGTGTTACATTTCTTTTTCCCTCCTGCCAAACCAGAAATGGGAATATGGTGTGGTCGAAATTGTAGTTAGGTTTGAAATTTCTTTTTCAGGACTTGGTTGTTAGAGTTCTTGCATCTTTTACCCAAACTTACTTGCTTTTCAACTGAACTATTTGCTACTAGTTTGAACAAATAAATAAGCAGCATCTTGAATTCATTTTTGAGTTGGAATCCGGCATTTAAAGGAAACCAAGAGGGGCCTATTCACTGGGGTTCTATTTAACCAGGCAACTTCTCTTTCTGCCTTGTGAAAAATGGATGTTTTCTCCTCATTCAAACAACATAATCCTTTCTAATACAAAAGAGCTAGACTTTGGAGTGTGAAGGGTTAATGGTGGTCCTTCCCCGTTGTCCTCCCACCCCCCACCTTCACCCCTGATTGTTTTGACAACACTTTTCAAAGTGTGACATTCCAAGCCCCTACATAACAATGTAATATTACTGTAATTACACAGGTCATTACATTTTAAATAGAGAACAATAAAATGCTTATCACCCTGAAAAAGAACAGGTGTTCTTGCCCTTCTTTGGTATTTATGCTAATTGTTTTTCATCTCCTTCCGAAATATTTATGGGTAACATGTTTAGATTTCAATCTGACTGCCACAGAATTAATTCTGTGCTAATCTTTATAGGTTGGGGTTTAATGTCTGCAGTATGGATTATGGGTTCAACACTCACCCAGTAAGTCATATTTTAATGATTATAAATTTAATATGCCAGCGCTGTGCCGTTTGTTGAATTTAAAGCTTTCTGAAACCCCAGAAACAAACTATTAAGCAGTCGGGAGCCTAGAGTGCTTCTTTGGAAGAAGTGTTTTTGGAAACTTTTGACGGCTAAAGGGAAGTACCTTTCACTGATGCCCCCTATCTGATTGAGAAAAGATTTAGAGGAAGACAATCCCCGTTCTTGCTGAGGACTTTTGCATGTTGATTTGAATTTTACTGATAGGGATTTCATCCTGAATCCCTGCTGGAAGCCGGTCAGCTTTCTGTTTCTTAGCAAGCTGTGAAAAAGTTACAGGAAGGTGTCCGGTGGTTGGCAGATCCAGAAGGCTGTTCTGTGCGCAGCGCAAAAATATTTGCTTTAGAAAACTCACATTTTAATAGTTGTAGCAGAGGCTGTGCTTTTCAAGATTACAGTAGACGGCTTTCCAGGTTTTGAATGCCCCTTTCCTTCCCACGAGGTGCCCGTGTGCCCGGAAAATGTGCCCAGAGTTCTTGGTTGGGAAATCTTGGTGCCCCTTCTCTCACACAAGCACAGTGGGTCAACCAGGAGGTATCTAAGATGCTTTCACATTTTGTCAGATGCTTCACGAGAGGGGCCCCCCGAATCACATTAAAAATGCACTGGAGAGAAAGGACAGCTGCAAATTTTTGTGCGGACGCGTGTTTCTGGACCATGACTAAAACCCCGAGGACCTTTTCCCCAGCTGTCTGGAAGTTATGTGGAAGTTGGTTTATTGGCAGTTAAGTATGAGACAACCTGGATTTAGCAAAGCCTTTCTCCTGCACAGGAAGTAGATGACATTATATTGGGGGAGGGGATGAGACTTCAGGCAAGGAGTGATTTACTTTTTTTTTTTTTTTTTTAAACCATAGACTTGCCAAATAAATAAGCACTTTCCAAGGAAGTAGGTTGTAAGCTTTTTAGTCTTGGTAAGTGGAATTAGATAATATCTTTAACCGCATTTATAACTGTTTTGAGGTGACACAGTACAGAAGTTTTGAAAAGGAGGGGTCAGTCAGATTCTGGAGGCTTTTATTTTTGCAGGGGGGTGTGCTGGGGGCGTCTGAGTTTCTTCTGGGAGTGAATATTGGCACCCGTGTAAGTAAATCTTCAACTCTGACTTATAATTGAGCACATTTGTGAAGGAAATGGTTAATTTTACAACCAAAGGCAAACTTGCACCTCGACAGGTCTGCTGAAAGAAATGTGC